GTACGTCTTAATAAAATCTGTTTAATTCAAATGTATTTATGCTGATTTAATTTGAGTAATCAATTAATATTGTAAATTTCCTTACAGAAAGATAGTGACAAATGTTTGCAAGTTTAGCAACAGTTATCAAGAAGGTGAAATATTCATATTGCTTCGTCTGTTAAATGAAAGCTGTTCTTCAATTGCACTAGATAATAAAAATAACAATACCCATAAGGATAGTCAAATGCATACACCATCGTCAACTGCAGCAGTGTATCTTTCATCTATATTTACATAAATTATCATTATTAATTTCGCATGTCGTATATATTAACAATCGGCAACAATAGACAAAAAGCAATTACGACCACATGCCTCTATGATAACTGTCATTAAAAACCTATACATTATGAAATAAAGTGCGAACCAGCATATCGTACATACATCCGTATTATTAATAAATCATACATAAAATCATTAAATCTGGTGTGCAACAAAACTGCATGAAATAACAGCGTTCATGTGAACGCTTTTATATGTGTTATGTAACTTGATTATTGTTTAAATAAACATTATGCAAAACTTTCCCTTTTGGCACACTAAAATCTGTGGTTTGTTTTCTTTTTCCTGAGAATAAAGACTGTGTTCTAATATATTCTGTTCTGTATAATAACAGAACAATTAAATTAGAATTTAATTTGTACAATCCGATTGTGATATCAATTTAATTGCCCCGAAGCCGTTCCAATTAAACCTTAACTTTCAATTATTCTATTCAGTAACATTTCTCTTAAACTCAAATTTTCAATTGTATTAACTTTTATTTAGTTTATGCAAATTAATGGAAGAATATAATCTTGCTACAGAGGATTTCATGGCGACTTAATAGTGTTCTCTGATAAATCATGACGTTTTTCAATTAGGACTAACTTTATGTGGTATTGAAATTATTCAAACAGTTTTCAATCTAAAAGTTGTGTAAAGGAAAGTGGTTAAGCGACAAGAATGACATAAAACAATGATTATAATTCTTAACAGTGATCTAGTCAACAATTTAACTGCTTGTGTTACTAGTTAACTTTTATTTGAAATAAAAGCTAAAATGTTGTAATCGCAAAAGAATATGTTATTGCATTCATATAAATAGAAACTAAACCGCCCATTGATGCACCATTACCTTTATATCTAATTATACAATTCATCATCGAAATAGTAACAGAACAGTAAGTCTTGATTTTAAGCAATATTTACGGATAACTAATTATACCTTTCACACCATTTTTCACGGTATTTATTACTGACGTAACTAGGACGCCTGGGGGTGAGGCAAAACCCATACAATATAACCATGCATAACAATTAAAAAAAGTACAGATACAATTTAGGATTAGTAGTAATTTCTAAAGTTTGTATTGTCAAATGATTTAACAGATTCTATTTAAGCTAGTATGTTAATGAGCTTTGAATGTGTAGAATATTTAAAATCTAGATAAAATTTAATTATTGAAATTTAAATTTACGCAAACCTTGTTATTTCACATATTTTCATGGTTTGACTCAGAATTATTAGATAACCTAAATAAGTAATCATATTTAAAGACATGCAGCTGTGTAATAATTTGTTACAAAAATTGTGAAAAACATGATGTTCTAGATTTCGTCCGCTTTTTTCCACAGCACTTGAAAATGGATAACGAAAATTTTGGTATTAATACGTGCAAAGCTTCTAATAAGTTTGATATGAATGCTTTTCAGTTGCGTCATAACCTGGTGGGAAAATCACTTTAGACTTTGATTCGAACGTATCAAATGGAGTAAAATACGCCTGTAAGTGCACGTGCTCCGATATCCACGAAACCTTGTCTAAAGGTTTTGTTGAACCTAGTCTTCGCAACGTGACTGAGTATTTATTGATTACATGTGATAACATATCAAATTGTTAGAATATCAGCATGAATAATTTTTGACAAATTTGAAATTTCCAGAGATTCAAGGTGAAAAAGATATATATTCACAAATGTTTTTATCTTCATATATTATTCTTAAATGAAAGAAAAACGAATTGCTGTCTTATTCCATTTGACTAAAATGATCCAAATGAAACGCAAAATATAAACATTCACACTAGCATAAATATCATAATGAATTCGGGGTAATTATATAAATATCATAATTATGTACTATTAATGTATAATGATTACGTACTGTAAGAGTCTTGAATAAACTGTTTGCCCCCAGAAAGTAAAATGTAAACAAATACAATTTCAAGTAAACGGTAAATACAATTTCAAGTAAACGGTAAATACTGATAAAGTAAGTGATATGTAAATGCATATTTACTGACATCTTTATTCAAGGGGTCATACTGAGCATATCGATTTCTTTCAACTATATAATGTTTTTCAAGAGGGCTCTTGAAATATAAGTAATTTCTGTTATATTATGGAGGCCTGCTGCTTAAAACTTCTGCAAAATATTTTGTAATGTGAAAGCCATTAAATAAAATTTCGAGGCAACGAACGTACACTATACATACATTTTTGAACCAGTATTTAAGGAAGATTATGTGGCAAACATACACGTTTGTTTAAATGTTCACACATCTTCATGTTTCACAAGACAAATTTTTAACACAGCAGTAATATAATTATTGTAGTTAAAATAATACGTTGCAATGTAATGCATCTAAAAAGAGAACAATAAAAAGCAATAACATATAAGTAAAGTTGCAACGCCACCTGTTCTCAAATACAAAAATACCTTCAACATGTGTTCAAAGATGTTCATCCCAATCCTACATAATATAAAATTGCAATTATGTTTATTAATCACATATTAATGCATTTTTGATACAAACGTTTAATTGTGTAATGTAAGAGTTTCTTGCATAGTGCAGTTGGCCTGTGTACCGGTCGTTATGCAAATAATGCAACGGATAATGTCCGCCAATTTTAAAAGTACATACATAAATCCGGTTTTATCAGCTGTTCACCCAAATATTTTTTGATAATGTTGAGGTATACGTATATGCCATATAATTGTATACAGTGTATCAGGCTGTAACGTTTACTATATTATTTTTTATAAATAAAATGTTGTTTTGTTTCTAGTTGATCAGATTTATCACCTTTAGATAAATCGCTCGCAATATAATAATTTTAACCACTTGTTTAATTCTTCTATTCACAGAACAGATTCGATTTAGGTAGATAAGTTTACTGTCTACAATATATGAGGTCTTTTGTTCCTCTTATTATTTATTTTTCTATTATTATGTCTTTCCATAGTTTCTATATGTACTGTGCAGATCAATAAACGACATTTACCATCCGACAGATATATCATTTTCATGCAACAAAAAAGTATATTTTGACATATGAGTCACTATTCCTATTACTTTTTACCCTTGCCTTTACAAAAATGTTTTTTTTAAATTTTTTTATTTAAGTACGACATAATTTCATTTGGTAATATATTCAGTGTATGATTTGGTATCTATAAATAAAAACCACAGGAATGTCATTGTTGTCGTATGATTTGTAATTAAATTTTATCTGCGCATGTGATTAGGCAGTTTCCTTATTTAAACAATAGTACAAGTACCTTATTACATCAGATATTGTTGATATAAACGCTACTGGGATTGATTATGTTATTTATATTAGCGGGATTGAAATAAAAGTTTCAAAAAGAAAATTGTTTGAGAAATGACGAAAATATTTATATGAATATTTTTATAGGCTAGGCACAAAAGGATATTTAAATATATCATTGATAAACTGAAATAAAATTAGTTATTAATTTATTTTCGGAAAAAGTAAGGCTTAGCTTAGCTTCCTTGTTGATCTTGCTTATCATATTTTAGCTTAATTTAACTAAATTTAACTTTAAAAAGAGAACTAGTTAGAAGTTATTTCTTTAATCTCTGAAATAAGGAACGAAAATTAATGGTCATCTTTTCGGAGAAAAGCAATCATAACACCATTTTAGTCATAAAGCTTATAAATCTTTATTTACTTCATAACAATACACACTGCTAAAGAATAAAAAATGCTATTGCGACATTTCATATATTTAGTTGTATTTTACAACCATATCGTTTTAAGACAAGTCTTGATTTTGAAATAGAAGATTAAATAATTCAAATTTTGATAACAGCAAAAGTATCATCTAATACTAAGGATTCTTATAAATTGTATAAATAAGATGATACTATGGAAAGATCGATCGTAGGGTTAAGATGGGCAATCATTTAAATAAGTTAAACTAAGATTATGGTCATTTAAAGATTCTATTTTTTTCATCAACCTCAGCATCCCTCCTCTAGTCATGTTTTTGATTCCAGCATTGATGTTTCAAGAAAAGAATACTGCCGTTATATTACACTAATATATATAAAGAACGAAAGTTATATTACATAGAAAACAAAGAATGTCATGTGTTAATAACGTATGTGTATTTGTGCGAAGTTTTATATCAAACAAAAACCTTGCATTCCTATTTTTCCGAATTTCACAATATTAAAGTGAATATTATAAGAAACGTTTAAAGAAAGCATCTTATCTCTGATTACCTCTTATGATAATCTACTTTTACCCCAAATTTATCGAATTCGAGGATACTTATGATCAAGATTTATACAATCATTGCGTTATTGCATTTGATCCTACTTCTGTATATCAAGATAAAACAATTTGTTTTATTTTATTTTAAGTATTCAAAATATAATGAAAAGTTAAAAACCATAATCCTGTTAATAACAAGCCAGTTTAATAATATACTAGTAAACATTCATTGTACATTACGTTTACTTGAAAAACGCGCAATGCATTTTAATACATTCGCACTAACAATATCAACATTAGTCTTCTTATAGAAGACTGTATTTATGTATTCACTGTTTGCATTTTAGCTATATGATATGCACAGTGTATAGAATATCAGTAATATCATCACAGAGACTGAGTATTACTAAGTTAATATCAGTTGAGGAAATACAATGGTAAAGCCTACCACCTAAGATACCACAAAAGGAAGATATAACATTGTATATACAAATTTAGATTTTTTTTAATATATGATAAAATATCCATTAACTACCAATGGGCCGATATAAAATCAGACAAACAAATAATGATAAAAAATAATAACGATACAATTTTAAACAGTAATACTACATGTACTATGAATTTAAATGTACAACTTCAAACAATGATAAAAAATAAACGACGTGTTTCCTGCTTAAGGTGTTATCTTCGTATAAAGGCTCCATCACTGTTCGAGGAGGAAAACGGTTTTTGAATATCACACAAATATAATAACAGAAAGATTCTTAGTGAAATTTTGAAAGACAATTCAATTTTAACCGTCATAATGTAACAGATGAGCAGACAAATTCTCTAGCACGGATATGAAAATACATTAGCAAATGTCAGTTACTAATTATTTATTCTTATGTATGATTATAGTGGTTAGCCTGCCCATGCTCTGTCTTGTACCCTGTCCTGTTTCTGTTTGGGGTCCTCCTTGGCTCCTTGCCACTGGCTCTTGTTACTTGGTCGGGTGGGGGTTGCGTTCATTGAATGCCGCCTTTCCTTGTTGTTCTTGATTATCATATTTTTTTATTAGATAGCACGACACGTATTGTTATTCGCGTTTTGTCTAGTGTAATTTGTTACACCAGCTCAAGTTCGATAGAGACACTTATTCAAATCAGTTAAAAATAGTTTTAATTCTTGGTTAAATAAAGTTCCCTAATTCCACGATTACAAATAAATGGATATAATACAAAATAGCTCTCCTTTAAGTAAAATTTGAATCAGAAAAGTTCGTAGCTTAAAGGAATAAGTCAAATAATATCAAAGTCGCCCTGGCGCTAAATTGGCAATAGTGGAGTGCGCACATGGGAGGCGTTCGTGTTTTATAGTGGTCAGTAAATTATGCAAGTCAAAGGGGTTAATTGATCATGCATCCTATTGTTGGCCAATCAAAACATCAACTTAACCGGTTAACGTACAATTCGTGAGCTCAATCCCCGGCCAAATCTATAACATATCCCATATTTAGAACTGACCGGACTTTTGTGCAAAAATACGCTGACGAGGTTGATTCTCGGTTACCAGTTGTGCAGAAGGCGGACAGAGACCAACCCTCCCGTCCACAATAAGTCACAAATAACCTATAGGTATAAAATATGTGAATTTGCTTGACCAATTCAACTGTTCGACTATTGACCTAGTACTTAATAAACATGTTTATACATGAGGCATACCGTCATAGTGTTATATGAACAGTTACATGTGAATGTATATTTCGTGTGTATCCCTAAAAGTTCTTTGTTTTGCCCTTACTCTCAATTCTGTGCTACCAAATATGAAAACTTCAGACACATTGCTGTCCTCAGCTTTTAATCTACGATTCATCGGAATTACAAATATTCCAATACATTCACAACCATGATCTGTAGTGAACATTGGGTTACGACTTTTCGATTTAAAAATTTTCAATTCACCTCGACATTGATTATTAAATGCTGCCTTCCCCACTCTTGACACTTCATGTCCATCCTTTATCACTTCTCCTTTCTCAACTGCCTTCCAAAATGAATCGATGCAAACTGGTCCAGCATGTGAATTCCTTCGTTTGTCCGATGGGTGTATTTTAGGATCAAATGGAACAGCAATTTCAAGACCGTATGTAAAACGTGCGATTCGCGCAGTAACTATCGATGGATTTTGCCCGAAAAGAACAGCTCCTTTCAAGACAGCAAGACCACATTCCGGAGGGATGAAAATTAATTTGTCTGCAAAATGTGCCTCGAAGATACCTTGTACGTAAAGGCTTTCAGAAAAACCACCTACCAGTATTATTCTGCTGACGTTTCTCGTAGATTTCTTTGGTAAAATTTTCTTCACATTGCCAATGACCTTACCTACCGGATCTGCAAAACATTTCTTCAAAAGTGAAACATCAATTCGTAACTTGCCTCTATTCAGTACAATTTTGTTACCGAACAAGTTGTCAGAAGTATCGCTTTTTGGTTCGTAGTTGTCTTCAAGACTTCTTGGGATTTTAATGACAATATTATTGCAAGTGTCTAACTTGATAATTCTTTTTTGTGTTTCAAAGTCTCTTTTCAAGGACAACACATCTTCTAACTCGTTTTCTTCGAACTCTTTCCAATGAGATGAACCAAAGAAACTTTTCATCAATTCAATGAATTTTTTGTCTACTTCTACCCCGCCCCATGGCCCTCCAGTTGGTTTATGTATTTCTACAAGAGTATCATTTGATGTCTGTTTGTGAACTGTTATATCCGCTGTTCCACCTAAAAATATTTTCATGTTTTATTATCTTTTGAATATCAAATAAATAAAATAGATAAATACAGAATCCCTAAAGAAAGCCCAACACGGCAAAATTGAAAATGTTGCAGGCTCGGTTTGATTGAGCCTGTTCATGGACGGTACTGGAAAGTGCAAGTTACCGTCCACGCCCCCTAGCACCGGCTTAAGCAGAATTCAACATTTAAACATGAAATAGTAAAATTTTGAATTTAGAAACATCCGCAGATGTGTTCATACGGCGGTTATCATGGAACCTTCAATATGACACTTCCGTGCCATTCCATGAAAAGCGGCGTATGGTCCCCAAGTAATAAAAAGCGTGTGCCCTAAACGAGAAAACAATGGGCGGAACTAAATAACATGAAATTTTGAAAGGGGATCAGAGGTTATGAAGCCTGCGTATCACAGATAAGACGTCAAAAGACAAATTTAAAAAGCAGACAACATATCCTAAGGGTGATTCAACATTATTCAAGTAGGAATATTGGAACCACCCAACTAGAAAATGCCGAAAAGTTGAAACTAAAAATACCACAAGCACAACAATAATGCCGTGCTGAACGATCTTCAAGGATCGAAAATATAACATCATTGATTAAATGTACGGGGAGACTTTTTACAGCCGCCACACGGCACAAATAACACTGATGTGATCATAAAATAGATAAATACAGAATCCCTAAAGAAAGCCCAACACGGCAAAATTGAAAATGTTGCAGGCTCGGTTTGATTGAGCCTGTTCATGGACGGTACTGGAAAGTGCAAGTTACCGTCCACGCCCCCTAGCACCGGCTTAAGCAGAATTCAACATTTAAACATGAAATAGTAAAATTTTGAATTTAGAAACATCCGCAGATGTGTTCATACGCGGTTATCATGGAACCTTCAATGTGACACTTCCGTGCCATTCCATGAAAAGCGGCGTATGGTCCCCAAGTAATAAAAAGCGTGTGCCCTAAACGAGAAAACAATGGGCGGAACTAAATAAAATGGAATTTTGAAAGGGGATCAGAGGTTATGAAGCCTGCGTATCACAGATAAGACGTCAAAAGACAAATTTAAAAAGCAGACAACATATCCTAAGGGTGATTCAACATTATTCAAGTAGGAATATTGGAACCACCCAACTAGAAAATGCCGAAAAGTTGAAACTAAAAATACCACAAGCACAACAATAATGCCGTGCTGAACGATCTTCAAGGATCGAAAATATAACATCATTGATTAAATGTACGGGGAGACTTTTTACAGCCGCCACACGGCACAAATAACACGGATGTGATCATAAAATAGATAAATACAGAATCCCTAAAGAAAGCCCAACACGGCAAAATTGAAAATGTTGCAGGCTCGGTTTGATTGAGCCTGTTCATGGACGGTACTGGAAAGTGCAAGTTACCGTCCACGCCCCCTAGCACCGGCTTAAGCAGAATTCAACATTTAAACATGAAATACATGTAGTAAAATTTTGAATTTAGAAACATCCGCAGATGTGTTCATACGGCGGTTATCATGGTTAAAACATGGTTAACGGCGGTTAAAATATGAAAAACAAGATCAACAAGGAAAGGCGGCGTTCAATGAACGCAACCCCCAGCAACAAGAACCAATGGCAAGGAGCCCAGGCTGTTTTCAAAAATAATCAGAAATGTAGGTCTTACAGATTTTTTATTCTTGATAGATAACTACATGTATTTTCTTGTAAAATATTGAAAACAAAGCAATAATATCAACACAATTACATGAACATTGCAGACTGGATTCGATTGAGATTGAAATTAGGGATAATGAAACAGTGCAACATCACTTACGCCGCTAAAACTGGTACTGAAAAATGATTCACATAATTATAAAGATACGTTTTGTTATTACCTCCTAAATCAACGATTATGTTACATGTTCCAACAGTAGAAATTGCCAAGTCTCTATGTGGAAAATAAGATAAACAAGATCAACAAGGAAAGGCGGCGTTCAATGAACGCAACCCCCATATGACCCAGCAACAAGAACCAACGGCAAGGAGCCCAGGCGGACCCCGAACAAAAACAGGACAGGGCAAAGACAGGCCAATCATTAAATGATAAATAATTTGGAACTGATTAGGAACTCAAAGAAAATAATAATAGGCCCACAAAGGGGAAGGGGACAGGAGACCGGGGGAAGGGGGGGGGGTAATTAAAGAAATAAAAACTAGAGGCAATGGGGAAGATACTTACCGTAGACGAGAAAACAACAAGGGACACAAGTAAAAGTGTCACCAAAACAGTATGAAACAACATAGACATACATCTGAGGAACACAGTGGGGCGCCGCCTTGGAACGGTCAGCAGCATAATAATGACTGCTGGGGAGTTTAAACCGGTTAATGGTGCACCAAACCTCGCTCTTAGCCCCACCATGTTCCTATAAACGAGACAGTGTAAATAAAATGAATCCCCGCCAAGTGAAATTCTAACAGTTGTCATGGTTACAAAAGGTTAAATAAGTAAAACACTAAAATGATCATGTAGAAACATATAAAAGTAAACCCAATGACCATAACAAAAGTACTCAATGTCCTAAAGGAAGACAGAGCAACAAGAAAATCACCTACAAGGGCCCGACGAAGCAAGGCAGAAGACGAACATTAAGACAATTCAGTCCCAAAGGGCTCTGTTTGTATTCGCTGACACCAAGTTGCCGCTGCTTCAGACTCAAGTGCTATGATTAATTGGTTGTTTGGAATTCCAGCCTACAGTGAAATAAAGAATTGAATTAAGTGTTATAACTTAAATAATTGCAATTACGATCAAAATGATACAAATATTGAGTTAAAAGGATGTTTGCTTCTCAATCTGACTGAAGTTAAGATCTACCTATTTCTTTCATGTAGATCGGATCACGACCGCATATGTTTCGCCTTCTTTCTTCGGATTTCCCGAGAAAGCTTTTTTTCCAGCCATTTAACCGGTTTTTATAGATATGCATTAGAAGAAGTATCAAAATACCGATTTCCGTGGAAGTTACACAAATTGTTGATTTTTGTTAGAAATGAAATAATAGTCGATTTTAAATGGGCAAGATTGTTTTGTCAGTTTTATCTGTCGGCCAACAACGCCATGTTTGTTCTCGAAATCCTGAAAATTACCACCTAAATATAAGTTTTCCCAGGGTTAAAATTAGAGAACGCATCACTTTCAAAATTATGAAAGCTCGCCGAAGAATGGCTGAGTGAAGTGTGCAAAGTCACTGAAAATGACTACCTTTTTCGTCACAGTCATATCTAAAAGCGATGCATTATTTATAACAACAAGAGGTATCAATATGAAACTTTGTAGGTAGATAGATCTCATTGAATAGGTGTGCAGTGCACAAGAACCTTACTCTGCCTTGCCTAATATTTGAATTTTTGCCCTTTGTTTATTTTTACACTCTTTTAACTTTGTCCGGGACATAACTAAAAGTATAAAAGGTATCAACATAAAAACTGTAAAGGTAGATAGATCTCATTGAGTAGGTGTGCAATGCGCAAGAACCTTAACTCTACCTTGCCAACTCTTTGAATTATTGCCCTTTGTTTATTTTTACACTTTGAACTTTGTCCGGGACATAACTAAAAGTATAAAAGGTGTTAACATGAAACTGTTTAGGTAGATAGATCTCATTGAGTAGGTGTGCAATGCGCAAGAACCTTAATTCTACCTTGTGTCACAGGTCGAGAAAAATGTGCAGCCTGACCGGGACTCGAACCAGGGACCTTCGGAATACCGTTCCGCGGCTCTACCGACTGAGCTATCCGGCCGCTTACACATCTTCTCCCCTAAATAGTGAACAGTTCTGAACCGTGACATACTCCCCTGCTATATTGAAATTCGTCCTCGAATTTCACAGAGTTACAGAGCAATGTAAATTAAACTCTGAGCTATATCGAGTCTCCCGTTGGGCGCCAAATGTCACAGGGTGAGAAAAATGTGCAGCCTGACCGGGACTCGAACCCGGGACCTTCGGAATACCGTTCCGCGGCTCTATCGACTGAGCTATCCGGCCGCCTACACATCTTCTCCCCTAAATAGTGAACAGTTCTGAACCGTGACATACTCCATTTATATCTCACGCATGCGCACTTTGATATAAATATTTCTCTTGGTTTGCGCCAGAAATTGTTTATCTTGTTTATTTATTTATCAAGGCGTATGTTTTATGTCCTTACAGGTAATTGTTGTTTATCATTATGTTTCATTATCATGCATATTTCCATTGATCGTTTATGTATTTCGGATCTGTATTTATATGCACTTTGATTTATATGTCCTTTTTATGTTTGGGGTCCGCCTGGGCTCCTTGCCATTGGTTATTGTTGCTGGGTCATATGGGGGTTGCGTTCATTGAACGCCGCCTTTCCTTGTTGATCTTGTTTTTCATATTTTTTGATATAAACATTTCTATTGGTTTGCGCCAGAAATTGTTATCTTATTTATTTATTTATTTATCAAGGCGTATGTTTATGTCCTTACAGGCATAAACAGACCATTCCTACATTTGAAAAAGGACCATACGACACTTGCCAATTCTTTGAATCATTGCCCTTTTGTTTATTTTTACACTTTGAACTTTGGCCAGGACATAACTCTAGAACTATAAGAGGTATCAACATGAAACTTTGTAGGAAGATTGATCTCATTTAGTAGGTGTGCAGAGTACAAGAACCATAACCCTGCCTTGCCTAGTACTTGAATTATTGCCCTTTGTTTATTTTTATGCTTTGAACTTTGTCTGCGACATAACTCTAAAAGTATAAAAGGTATCAACATGAAACTTTTTAGGTAGATAGATCTCATTGAGAAGGTGTGCAGTGCACAAGAACTGTAACTCTGCCTTGCCTAATTTTTGAATTATTGCCCTTTGTTTATTTTTTATACTTTGAACTTTGTCCGGGACATAACTCTGAAAGTATAAGAGTTATCAACATGAAACTTTGCAGAAAGATAGATCTCATTGAGTAGGGGTGCAGAGCACAAGAACCGTAACACTACCGTGCCTATTTTTTTGAATTATTCCTCTTTGTTTATTTTTACATTTTGAACTTAGTCTGGGACATAACTCTAAAAGTACATGTATAAGAGATATCAACATGAAACTTTGTAGGTAGATAGATCTCATTGAGTAGAAGTGCATTGTTAAAGAACCATAACT